ACATTCCAAGTTCTTATGGAGAAAAAGAAAACTATTGTATTTTACTTGTTTATGAATACCTGTTGATCAAATTTGGCAAATTTATTTATTTCATACTATACTGTACTACATAATAACATTTTATCAAAAACCACATTTCCCCTTCCTCATAGCAACAAACCTAAGCACTCGTTAGATCTAATGGTACTTAGATGGGGGAGCGAGCTGGCATAGTGGTTAGAGCGCGGGACTTCAGTCCCGGAGGTCCCGGGTTTGATCCCCGCCAAGTCACCAATGGATTTTATCCAAGTGATAATGCCGCAACCCCTAGGTCTAGCCTGAAGTAATGTGAAAAACAATCCCAGGCTCGTGCCTAGCGTCCTAGGACAAAAAAAATACCCCCGCCGCAGCAAACCTGCCGTCTAAGCGAATTTCCATTTGGCTGAATTGATTTTCAATTAATCTATTTAAATAACATTAGGTTTAACGAGTACCTAGGTTTGCTGCTACAAGGAAACTAATAAAGTGTATCTTTTAAGTAAAATAATTATTGCTTAGTATAAAATGAATATATTTGCCAAGTTTGATCAAAAGATATCCATAAACAAGCAAACTACAACATTTTACAATATTCTCCATAAGAATAACATGGGAATTTTAAATTTACCATTTTTTTACTTTTCTCCGTAACCAATAACCGTACAAAAACACTTTGATATACTGAATTGTTTGTTTTTTAAGCTCTTTAAGAAGGTTTAGAGAAAAATTGGGAAATTTTGTTTCCCAATTTTATTTTTTTTAAATTATTTTTTTTAATTTATTTTTTTGAATTTTATTTTTTTATTTATTTTGAGGGGCAAAAGTGAGAAAAACCTATTTTTACCCCATAAAACCCTGTTCCCATGGTCCGATCATGCTGGATCGCAAACTCATTCAAGTTTATCCTGCCTTACACCTTCAAACCAAATTTCATCAAAATCGGATAAAAATTACTCCAGTTATCGTGTTCACGGACACACACACACACATATATATATACATATATAAAAATTTGAACGAATGGTGTTTTTGGCCTCTGGGGACATCAAAATGAAAAAGTAAATCGGTCCCGGGCCTAAGTCTTACCATGAGACCTACGGTAATAGCTACTTCCCTATAGGGAAATTCGCTAAAAGAAAAACAATTTACTTAGATGGGGAATAAAAATGACCAGCAAGCTAGTATTTATATTGAGCTCCATAAAATGATATTCAATGTTCTTAACGTGTCTCTAGCTTCTATGAATCCATGGTTTTTTTCTGTTCAAACTACAGTTTTTGTAGATTGCACAAAGGCTCCATAACTACAGTTATAATTACAACTGCACCAGTGAACTTTCTTCTTTTAGAACAACTGCAGTGCACTTCTCTGTGCATGCGAGCATGAACAGCAGTGAGCACTGTGTACTCTCAATGTTATGTTTCATTGACATACAACACTGTTCATAAATGAAATAATTTGTCCGTCACAACTTTAAAGAATGATTCATACGTTACAGTAGAGTCCAGCAAACTCGGCGTTCGATAACCCGGCAGTCTGGATTACTCGGCCATCACCGTCTCAGAAAATTAGTGATTTTTTTAGTCCGAGTTAAACATAGACTCAAGCCAGCTGAAGTCAAATCATTCGCAACTCGTACCAAGGATTTTTTGTACTATATCTGATGACTTAATACTGACTTGTAATATAAATATAAATAAAAAAGGTGGTTAAAAAGCTTAAAAATTGTTTTGTTCTTATTTTTAACCCTAGTACCTGATAACCCGGCATTTCACAAACTCGGCACCCTTCCAGTCAACATTACGCCGAGTTTGCGGGACTCTACTCTATTAGATTTGTTGGTCATAAAAATTGTAATTGGGTTATTTTATATATTTTTTTATTGTTGTACCTAAAGCAACAACATGGAAGATACTTTTATGAATCTGAATTCTTTGCCTATCTTAAATTGATGTTTTAGCCCTCAATTGATTAGATTAGAAAGATAAAAGTCAATCCTAAATGTATGTTCCTTCAAAATGAATTGTTAACTGTATTAATTGTATTTAAAAAACTTTTAAATTAGAAATTGAAAAAAAATCAGATTACTTTTTGTAAGTATTTTAATAACTAATTCTTTTAACAGTTTTTATTATTTTTTCATTACTTTTATAGTCTAGCTAGATGAATTTTTCAACTTTTAATTAGTTTATTTATTTCAATAATCTACTTAATTTCAAATAACTTTGAATAAAAAAGTTTGAACGTGAATTTTAACTATGATTATTATGAACTATATTGACCATTTCAAAAATAAAAACAATGGATTGTTTTTTTATCAATCTCGCTTTGAAAATATTTTGGATTGAGGGTTCATACATTTTTATAAAAATTTTACCTTACCTCTTTTGCAAAATTCATATTTTTAGAAAGAAATCTCTAGTTGATAAATGAGTTAAACTAATGTTATTTATTTCAATTTGGAGATGGGCACAATAGGCGAGAAAAAGGCTAGATGTTGAAGTGATTAATCAATCTGTGGGGGAGGGGGGCCATTAGTGGGCCATTTTAGCTGCTCTGTCCGTAACATCAATGCCAGTCATGGACTCAGTGCAGTTAGGCCTAGTCCACAACAAAATTATAGCAATTTCTAAAATGTGGAAAATATATTTATTGTATTTGACCTATACTAAACCTCTTGTATATAAATAATAATACTTCCAAAAGGCAAGACGTATCTCAGCTATGCAGTTAATAAGATTAACAAAAACCTTGAAAATATGTTTCTATCAACCAAAACCAGAAAACAAATCTTTATTTTTTTTTCTGTTCATCTAGGCTTAACTATCTACACAGTAATATGTTTTATGAGTACTAAGTTTGCTAAAACGGGAAAGCAATAATGTGTGTTTTTTTAGATAAATGTCAATACAGTGTACTCTTGGTAATTCAAACACTCAATAAATCAAAAGCTTAAATAATTAAAAATAAAATCTCATTCTGTAGGGAATCTCTTTAATATTTTGAAGTTTTACCATGCATTTTGATACACTCTGTATTTTGAAGTCCAAGCAGAGGGCAGGCCGATTTAGAACTCGAAGTAATTCAAAGTTTCGTCAACAAAACACTCTATACTCCGAAAGGAGTATAATAAGGGAATATAAATAAGCTGTTGTTTGTTGTAAGATAACTATAATAAACTGTTTAGTTATAACTTTGTGAACCTTAAATAATACAGTGTTATAAAAAAAATAACTCTTTGTAATTCAAATGGTTTATTTTTCTCCCGATAAATCAAATCTCTTGATTATTCAAGACTATAATTAGTTTAAATTTATTTTGTTGGCCCACCAATTTGAATTATCAAGAGGGAACTGTAGTGTAATATAAATACATTTGTCAAGTTTCATCAAAAATATATCCATACTGTACTAACTACATCAGTTCACATAACCCTCATAACAAATAACATAAACATTTTAGATTTACAGTTACAAAAAAATTCTCCTTGCCATTAAGCGCACAACAACGCTTCAGGGTAGTAAATTATTGCTTTGAGTCATATACAGATTGTCTCGTAAGTAAACAGCCAAACTCCGGGAAATGGTTCTATGGGTTAAAATAAAGAAAAAATCAAGAGTAAATTTTTTTCCAAAATCACTTTGTTAACCAGACTTCCGCCATTTTTTTTACATAAACATTTTTATCTTTGAATTTTTTTAACCGATCATTATGAAACTTGTTTGTGTGTTGAGGTAAAACAGACCCAATTTAGAAAACACTTTTATCTTAATCCAATTCAAAATTTCAAAATGGTGGCTATTTAAATTTGTTAAATGGAAATTGGTAAAACAATAGTTAATTTTATTAAAAATTGACAAGGACACTTTTATTTTATTATTTAAAACTTCCTGCCAAACGACACCAAGTTCAAAATTATAAAAAAAATTAATTGAAATATCACGATTTTAGTTGTAAAATTATGTTGAACAAGGCTAAGTTAGTCAGGGTTGTGCCTTATTTCACAACCAAAATCGTGATATTTCAGCTATCTTTCATTCTATCTTTTTGAACTCCGTGTCATTGAAAGGAAATTTGAAATAATTAAAAATAAAGGAGTTCTAGACATTTTTGTATAAAATTGGCAATTTTTTTGGATTTTGCAACCAGCATAATCGGACAGCACAATTCAAGAAGATCTTCAACTAACTAAGCAATAAATACAGGGTGGCGCAGATGGATCGGGTGGTTTTAAAATACTTGTCAAACTGTCAATTTTAAAGGTATTGGATTGAAATAAAGTGCAAAACGCGTAGTTGCAATGGAAGTTTATTGACAAAAAATTAGTTAAGTTAGTTTTTAAAAATTACATCCATCAAATGCCTTCCTTCTCGAGCGACGCATTCTTGGAGTCGGTCCTTGAGGTCCCGCATTGCTCGCTCAAGCACATCACCAGGAATTGATGTGATTTCGTTGTGAATTGCAGCCTTCAACTCCTGAATGGTCCGGGGTTTGTTCATGTAGACCCTTGCTTCAGGAGTTGAAGGCTGCAATTCACAACGAAATCACATCAATCCCTGGTGATGTGCTTGAGCGAGCAATGCGGAACCTCAAGGACCGACTCCAAGAATGCGTCGCTCGAGAAGGAAGGCATTTGATGGATGTAATTTTTATAAACTAACTTAACAAATTTTTTGTCAATAAACTTCCATTGTAACTACACGTTTTGCACTTTATTTCAATCCAATACGTTTAAAATTGACAGTTTGACAAGTATTTTAAAACCACCCGATCCATCTGCGCCACCCTGTACAATTGAGTTTTACCCCTCCTGTATGATTAATGGTGGGTGTGTAACTGATTTTTACAGTAGATTCAAAAACCCACATTACCCTCTTCTGTATTTCACCCCGTTGCATAGCAGATGCAGAGCGAAACTAGTATTTAATGCTATTATTTTTTAATATAAAATTATTTGTTTTATAACTAATTTTTTGTTTCAGTTTTAAAATGCATAAGACTGTCAGAAGACCCTATTGCACTCAAACTGAAAAGAGGTAATATCTGATTTTTAGCTATACCTACTTATAAACATAGCTACTATGATAGATTTAAAATTTACTTTCTGATTAAGTTACATTAGCATACTTCTTAAAAGTCAACAAAGCTTTTTGGGGTTCATGGACATATATAACAAATATATATTTACATTAATATTTTTGAATCAACTCAAAACCCACTTACTATCTTTAATAATTGTACCAGATTTCAATAATCTTCCATCCATAGTTGTTTAATAAATGTACACAACTATATTCTTTTGGTAACTAGGTTAACAAGTTAAAATGTCAAATTCTCAGCTTTTTAATGTCTTAGAAATAATCCTGTTAAATCAACTCTTTATTGTTTCAGACCCTTTGATAAAAGCAAGGGTTCGCCACTACTTGTCCACATCTAACCCCTTTGTGGACCCCCAGCCTCACAACAATGGAGACTCCTACGCTCCCCCATCACGACACCCTCTGCCACTGGAAGATCTCACCAGGAGCAATGGAGACCCTCTGGAGACATCACCTCAGCCTCATCCCAAGTTTGAAGCTTTTGTCATGACAGGTGATCGGGTTCTTAAACTTTCAAAGAATCAGCAAGGCTCGATACTACCGAAACAACGTAAAGTCGATAGTTTAAGGCATCACAATTATCACAACCACAACAATCACCAAAGGCACAACTCGGTGCCGACTAGTCCCATAGAGTCAGAGCGACACCCCCATCAGAAGACCTCCTCTGCCGGAACATCACCCACCCCTAGCGTAGCGGTGTCGTCAGCACCGATCCCTTGCTCTTCCTACGTTGTTCGAACATCGAGGTCGGAAGATCATTTACAATTTAACAAGGACTCGTCAATGTCCGCTGTATCTATCGACATCGATGACGATGTAACGTCATCTTTGAACACACTTCTAGACACGAGACCCGACAGTGAGGCAGAGGACCAGAGAGTTGTGTGGACATACAACGCCCCTATGACTGACTCCTCCACCCCCACCTCGGGCACTGCCACCTCCGACAACGTATCACCTCACAGATCTCTCTCCCCCCAGTCTCCGACATCCGTATCGTCGTCTGTTATGTCATCGGACTCGGGTGAACGGAAACCGTTGAACACTAACCTCGCCCCTACAGACTTATCTCAGTCAGAAGCCATCTCGAATATTTCCTCCCCCGACTTCCAGGATGAAGATGTCGAGATCCTCAATGCGAGGGACTTAGTAATGGAAGTCAGTGATCCGAGTGATAGTGACTCTACTTTATTATTAAGTGAAACCACGGCAAAGGTTCGCAGGACGAGTAATTCTCACAACGGGCATCACATAAACAACAGTATTCATCCATCTTCTAAAAACGATCAAAACATGCAGGGTGATCACAGAATTGTAATACAGGTAATATTAATTTTAAAGTATGTCATATTTTTACAAAAAGGAATCTAAGACTTTTAGACCTACATCACTACATAAATAAAGTTAACTTTAAGATTAAAAATGTTGTTATGTGCTCACAGATATCAATAATTGTACATATCAGATTTTCGAAAACCATTTACTTGTGACCAGGTCTTAATTGTATTAAGAGTTATTGGAAATGTAATTTTTACAGAAACATAGTCCTAGTTATTTAATATTTTCGATTATTTCAGTGGGAAGTATTGTTTTTGCCAATTTAAGGTCCCACTATGTAAACCTTCAATGTGTAGGTGAAGGGGCCAGAGAAGGATGGCGGAAGGAGCCAAAGTCCCAGAAACCACAACAGTAGGATACCTCCAGCTGAGCGCATGAACACTCGGCCTTGTATCAGGGAGGCAGAGCTGTACCAGCCTGACTCTCTCGAACACTCTGGATACCAGGTCAGTGACACACTTCATGCCAAACATACCTTATAATATTTGTGTCATGGACAGATAATGCTTTTTCCAGGTTGAGTTTTTATAAGTGCTTAGAGAAATAATCTCAAGCAAAAACTATTACATTTGAAATGAAAATTCTTCATCAATTGCTTTGGAGTAGCACTTTAATACTCTGAGCCCCAAAGAAAAATATGTAGACCAACATGAGTACCAGAACCAAATCATTACTTACAACTATGCTTGCAACAATAACTGGACAAACACATTTTAGAGCTATTATTATACTTAACATTAGCTGTAACCTGAGATTCACTGTCTTTAGGTTTACCAGTGTTGATATAGACCATTAGCTCTGATTATTGTTGGAGCGGCATCAAGCATTGTCTCCCTGGCTAGGACACAGCCCCATAGGGTTTGTATCCTGTCTCAGTGAGGTCTGATGTAACTCATAACAAATTACCAATCTTGGGCAGAGCTTGGTAGTAAAAAAACAATACATATAATAAACTGGGACACAGTTAATTTAACACAGTTCTTTTTTAGTAGATCACTGATTGATTTTGATGAGGAGAGGCTGATGCTGCAGACAGAGAGTGCTGCATTGACTCAAGATTGTATCACTTTGTTTTTTTTTTCTAGACACTGAGTGATGTTGATGAGGAGAGGCTGATGCTGCAGACAGAGAGTGCTGCATTGACTCAAGATTGTATCACTTTGTTTTTTTTCTAGACACTGAGTGATGTTGATGAGGAGAGGCTGATGCTGCAGACAGAGAGTGCTGCATTGACTCAAGATTGTATCACTTTGTTTTTTTTCTAGACACTGAGTGATGTTGATGAGGAGAGGCTGATGCAGCTGACGGAGAGTGCTGCATTGACTCAAGATTGTATCACTTTGTTTTTTTTTCTAGACACTGAGTGATGTTGATGAGGAGAGGCTGATGCTGCAGATAGAGAGTGCTGCATTGACTCAAGATTGTATCACTTTGTTTTTTTCTAGACACTGAGTGATGTTGATGAGGAGAGGCTGATGCAGCTGACGGAGAGTGCTGCCAACCTGGCCAAGGCTGTTTCACCACCTTTGGAGGACGAGAGTGACATAGAATCTCTACACAGTTTTCACTACAGTCCCAAGGCTGTGGACTTGCCTTCAGCTGAGCGCCTGGCTAAACGCCTCTTTACGCTCGATGGCTTTAAAAAATCTGATGTTTCCAGGCATCTTAGTAAAAAGTAAGCATAAGTTCTATCAAAACATATAAATCAATGTTCATGTTATTTCAATACTTCAGATTGTTTACATATTGTGCGTAGTATCCCTTTTAAACAGTTCTATCAGGAGTAGCTTCATTCATCCCTGATCTTGTGTAATGTTATAAACAGCTTTGGATCAAGAATTGAAGTTTTGTCCCAAACAAAAAGTAAACAAAATGTTTTGAATAGCAACTATTTTCTTCTGATAAGGATTGTTTAGACTAAAAAAACATGAAAATTTGAAAGATTATACTATTTGTGGTTTTATAAATTAAGAAATGCATTATTGATTAAATAATATAATTATCTAAATCACTGAAAGATTTATTTGATTGAATATTTGTGATGAGATGTAATTATTATTTTTGCAGCAACGACTTCAGCAGAGCAGTTGCAGAGGAGTATTTAAAATACTTCAATTTTGAGGGAGACTCACTTGACGTGGCTTTACGCAAGTTTCTGAAGCAGTTCAGTCTTGCTGGAGAAACTCAGGAGAGAGAAAGGGTTCTTGTGCACTTCTCCAAGAGGTATTTGGACTGCAACCCTGGCGGCTTTAACTCTCAAGGTGGGTGTACAACCATTCAAGTTGGTAATGTATCCCACCTCTAGTCTGTGCTTAAAACATATAGTATGGTACGGTATGTTTTATAAATACCATATCATTTTACGGTACAAGTATATATGATATCATACTAACCGAATTAAAAGTATAGACTGTCACTCAAACTCATAAGCTGTCATCTCTTCTTCCTATTATTCATTAATTTATTTGCTGATATTCATTTGAGCATTGTTGTGGTTTCTTCATGGTTTATTGTCATTGGGAAATTATTGTGAACGAGGTGTTAGCCCGTCCTACGTACGGGAATTCAGTAGTCAGTTTAAAACCGTGTACAATTCAGATCAGCTAGTTTACACATATAAAGACAAAGTTTCTTGCAGTTTTAATGTGAAAAATCATCTTGTAAACAAATGTAGTGTGACCAAATATATTTTTATTCCATCATAGGCCTATACGATATGCATTTTAAATCCGATAATTTTACAATAAAACAGCAATTCTGCAATTTTTGCGTTGAAGTGAGATTTGCAGCCGATTCGCACAGACGCACACTGATTATAAGTAGCCTACGGTAGAGAGAGTAATAGTCAATTGAGAAGTGTATAGACTTAGTCAACGATACCACCTTCCATAGCAATAGCATACCTGCCTCTTCCATAATTATTATCACCACAATACAACTACTATACACAATTTCCAGTAGGTCTGAATAGAAATGACTTAAAATAAAACGAAAATATCCAATAAAATTCACAGTACACATAAATCGTCACACCTATCCTTTATATCAATTTCACTGCATTAATGTAAAAACAACAACAGTTTGTTTTGAAACAGCTGTTTGGTTCAAATAACATTAATTTTAAAAAAAAGAACTCACGATTACTAAAAGAACTGGTCACATGTAGCAGGTAAACATAAAAAGTAAACACGCTAGTAAAGCTAATGACGTAATTGTCAATGTTTATTATCCATACTGTTATCAGTTCTATCCTTAATAATTACCCACCCTCATTGAATAAGCGTACATAGTAATTTCCCATATTAGTTAATTTAAACTACAATATATTCATAGTTGAAATAAAAGTGATATTTTCACGTTTGGGGGCGCTGATAGGCACCCCTAAACATAACCACATTGAACACGATTTCATAAAAGGATGGTTTGTCTAATTGCAGTATCCTAGGTCAATGTTGACGTTGTGCTCAATCTTTGTATAAAACTCGGCTGAGGTTGTGGTGGTAATTTAAAATTGTGATTCCTGATTATTCTTGATCTTCTTTTTATGACATCAATATTACCGGGCCTAATCCAAACAAAGTTAAAGCAGACAAACATTAATTGTAAACAAAAAGCTACCATGAAGAATTAAAACATGTAAACATTGTTATTTTTCTATTCTTTCCTCGAAAAGTGGAATAGTAAAATAATTTGCATTTATCCTTTTTTATTAAGACTCGTTTACAGAGCCTCGATTTGTACTGTGGTTTAATTAATTTTGGTTAAAACTGTGGTTTAAACTGAGGTCTAATTATCTCTACTAATCTTACTTATTTCCTATAATCAATGACAAAATAAGAGTAAATAAAATAACCTCATAGTTCCATAGTTTATATTTAACCAGCTGTTAGTTAAAACAAATTATATTGCTCTAAAACAAATCGAAGATTACAAATATTGCTTTAAAAAAATAATTTGAACATCCTAGTATTTTACTATGTATAATTTAATTAATCTGTCATCCTCTTACAGAAGAATTGAACGTATCAATGATTTGCATTGCACATAGTATAAATAAGTCAACCCTAAGTATGTCTTTACATTTTTATCCAAATGCTGAATTTGTGACACAAAAGCTGAATGTTTACAGCTGTTATGCTAAGCAAATTATTTTATGCCAAAAGCTAGTTTAGAATCTTAGCGTCGGCTGCTAGACTTTTTAAAAATTTAAACTTAATTTCTAAAAAACTGGGACCCTAAAATAAATTTATGGCTTCGACATTCCCTAGTTCTCAAAATTATCTTTCTTTCAACACAAAAATCATGAAAATCCGTCGAGTGGTTGATTCAGAATCGTGAAATAAAAAAACACTGTTTCGTTTTAATATTATAGATAAGATTTAACACGTTTTTCTCACAAAAAAAATCATGTTCAAGATAGATAATAAACATGGACAAAATGTACATCACTTGATTGGCAATGGAGTAAAGAAAGCAGTGCTGCCAAAATATGAGTTTATTTTGTCCTTCAGTTAATCCCTGTACTTTTAATTTGTGTTGCGCTTATAAACATACTCTGTATATGCTTTATGTATACATTTTAGTACTGTTAAGAATCCTACTTATAATTACATGATATATTAAAAAAATATTTGGCATTAGTATTTTGACTTTGTCATTGTTATGTTATGTAATGTATTACTGTTTCAACAGATGCGGTTCACACCCTGACTTGTGCTATCATGCTGCTCAACACAGACTTGCATGGCCAGATCATCGGCCGCAAGATGACATGTACAGAGTTTATAGAGAACTTGTCAGAGCTCAACGACGGCGAGAACTTCCCCCGTGATGTACTCAAGAGTCTCTACCAGGCAATCAAGAACTACCCCCTGGAATGGGCCCTGTGAGTATATCATACTAGTTGGCGCTTTACAAATATGATTCATTAAAATAATCAAATAGTTATTATTGCGGAGAGAGGTCTCCAAATGAAATTTTTCATTCGGACTCGCAATTAGGCAACCAAGAAAACCAGGGTTTCTTCTGGGAAACAACTAGGGAAAAATTTGTATATTTTTTCCCAGGAGTACAGATCTTCATGTGCATCTGTATCATTTACTTTTTTTATGAGAAAGAAGGTGTCCTATGTCTTGGGCTCTGTATAACTAGTATTAGGTCTAACTTCATTTCCTAGAAAATATTGGTTCTTCAATATTGCTACAAGAAAGCCAAAAGGCCTAGAATGAGGAGAAAGGTTTTTATATGATCCGTGAAGTACAAGGGCTTTGTGATTGCAAACCAGATTAGTCTAAACTGACACACAGAAAATTAGGGTCTTGTTTTCCAACACATTTCAAATATCACTGTCATTCATGACTAGACTAACCAATTTTTTTGACCAACTAACAGTGCAAAATTATAACTTAAATAAAAAAAAATCAATAAAAAAACCAAAAACTATGAACAAAAATACAAACAGTCCAAAAAATCATGCAACTAGGCCTACCAAGTCCAAATTTACACTTTATGCAATCATCCTCAGACTAAACAAACAACAAGCTATCAGGAAAACACACAAATATAATTTAATTTATTTTAAAAGGTTCCAAATAAATTTCTCTATGATCTATAACCTGGGGTGTAAGAAGGTGGAACAACATCAAAACCAGCTTTGTAAAAGTGTCTTCTATTGATTGATGCATAACCATTTTCGATTGGTTGACCACATTTGTCAGCTCCATTTCCAGTTAATACCTCCACCGCAGCAAACCTAATTTACAAACATTTTGCTACACGCCTAAACGCATTGTTAGGAAAAAATTATTTTTATATTATTATATTCTACATTTATCACTGAAAGAGAATATATATATATATATATGTGTGTGTACTTAACAAATAAATGTTCTGTGGCAAAATATATGGTACCACTACAAAAGGGCCAAAATATACCTGCCTTTGTCTGCAAGAAGAGTGGCCTTAAAGGTTTTTCACTATGAATCACAGCAACCAAAATTATATTAAATGAGTATCAGTCTCTACCACTAAAATCACTACTATACTTTTATAAATTAACTGTAACTGTGAGTCAAATCCAACCTATTCTCTGACAGGGATGAAGATGGAGACGATGCAGGGTCAGTCAAGGCTGCGGTTGGGGTTGGGGAGAGGGGGGAGATGCCTGGAGGACTAGTAGTGGGGGGAAGCGGGGCTGTCGTCGCCACCAACAAAGGCTTCTTTGACGTGCCATCTACACAACCAGCCATTGAATACAAGAAGGGGTACGTCATGCGTAAAAGTTGCATCGAGCCCAACGGCAAAAAGAGTAAGTTTTGACATTTGTCTTTAAGAAAGTAATTTGTTGCCCAACCTCAAGGTTTTAAAGCTCCTGGATCCTTGTTATTGTTTTAAAGTCACTATTACAAAAAAAAAAAAAATAATAAAAAAATTAAACCCCCACATTTGTAACATTTTAAATTAGATAAACCAATACACACCCATTCAGCCATTTGCACTGAGACGTGAGAGCTAGCTGAGAGGTATGCAGGTATTAGGAATTGACAAATTGTGTATTAGTATGCAGCGAAAACAAATAAAAGTCATAAGTACAGTCATGCCACACAATCTCACTACAGTACCCGATTGTCAACAGTGAGTATTGAATAACACAGAAGGTAGGACAACCAAAGGTTTGGTTATCTACACTTTATTATACTAATAATAATTTTTTTTATCTTGTAGCACCGTTGGGTAAGCGAGGGTGGAAGATGTTCTACTGCACATTGCGGGACCTGGTGTTGTACTTACACAAAGACGAGCATGGGTTCCGCAAGTCTCAACTAAGTGACAACCTTCACAACGCCATCAGAATACATCACTCACTGGCTACTAAGGCTACAGACTACACCAAGAAACAACATGTGTTTAGGTTGGAGACTGCCGACCAGGCTGAGTATCTGTTCCAGACCAGGTCAGTTCATCTCACAACCTCGTATTTGAAGTTACTTCATTATTCATTGAGTAAACTTGTTAACTTATAAGTATTCCTGAAAGATTAAGGGTGGCTAAAGATAGACATTTCTATCTTAGCTTAATAATAAAATAACTACACCTAATATAGCAAAATGGTATATTATTCAAATTTAAATTTTCAGTTGTTTGATTGAATTATTATTGTTTGTACAGGATATTCCAACAAAAATATAGCATAATGGTATACTATTCACATTTTCAGTTGCTTGATTGGATTCTTATTTATACAGGATATTCAAACAAAAAATTATACTTAATGTAAGAATAAAATAAATACATGATTCTCCAGCTCAATCGAAGCTTACGCTTCTTAAAGGTAAATTTGCATACTAATAAGTAGTGATGGTCAAAACCAGAAATTTCGAATCTCAAAACCGAAACCGAAATTTAAAAAAATCGAATCCCGAATCTCGAAACTCAAAACCTAACCGCGAAACCTTTTTACTTAACTGGTTACAAAGGTTATGGTTTCACGAAAAAAAAAAACATGTAATAAGAAAATTTCAAGTATGAAATCAAAACTGAAAGAGGACACCTGACACTGACATAATAACATAAATATGTGACTGATAAACCCATACCAACAGAATTTTTTTCTGAAATTAAAATAAATTTAACTCTAGACATCAACATAAGCATGAATATCCTATATATAATACGAGTAAAGTTTGAATACTTGTCAACTCGATCTGGGAATCGGCTCTAACAAAAACGTTTATATTTACGGAATAACTAAGTTCTGTGTCAAAAATAAGTTCTAGACCAGTGGTATAGCCAGGAAAAATCTATTTTCGCCATAATATGAGTACAAACTTTTGAAAATTTAACATGGGCCTTATGAGAAAACATTCCGCCATTATTGTCATTTTGTTTACATTTTAAGACATAACGTGACGATCTGTACCCACGGGCACCTCAGCTTGCGCATGCACATATGGCCTATTTACAAAAGACAGTACAAAAGAAAAGGAGTCCGATGAATACCATTAAGCGTTGATTAACAATACACCGATTCGCATAATTTCTGGTGGCCTTACTGAATTATTCCAAGCAGATTATTTCGTTTAATTGTTGTTATTAGTTTTGTGGTAAATATTAGTCCGGAGTGTGGTAACTGTTTATGACGATTAGATTAAGGTATCTACAATCCTAAAATGCTATGGGAAGGGAGGAAAACAGGTCCGCGACGTAGGAAATGGTGCAGGAAGTAGTAAAGGTAAGTAGTCCGGAGTGTGGGAAATGTTTATGACGATTAGATTAAGGTATCTACAATCCTAAAATGCTATGGGAAGGGAGGAAAACAGGTCCGCGGCGTAGGAAGTGGTGAAGGAAGTAGTAAAGGCGAGTAGTCCGGAGTGTGGGAACTATTAATGACGATTAGATTAAGGTATCGGTTATCCTAAAATGCTATGGGAAGAGAGGGAAACATGGTCCGTGACGAAGGAAGCGGCGCAGGTCCGCGGCGTAGAAAGTGGTGAAGGAAGTAGTAAAGGCGAGTAGTCCGGAGTGTGGGAACTATTAATGACGATTAGATTAAGGTATCTGTTATCCTAAAATGCTATGGGAAGGGAGGGAAACATGGTCCGCGACGAAGGAAGCGGTGAAGGAAGTAGTAAAGGTGAGTAGTCCGGAGTGTGGGAACTGTTTATGACGATTAGATTAAGGTATCTGTTATCCTAAAATGCTATGGGCTGGGAGGGAAACATGGTCCGTGACGAAGGAAGCGGTGAAGGAAGTACAGTAGAACTCCGATTATCCGAATCAATTGGGACCAGACCCCATTCGGATAATCAAAAATTCGGATAACCGGAGTTTTACAGGAATTCCGGGAATTTCCAAGAAAAATCCTCATTTCCGGTACTAAATGAATTTTTAATTAATAATAAATGAAATCAGAACATTTTTACAGTATACAATGCTCTTAGCACAAGTGTTCTAAACTTGTTCTTAATAAACAATTCTTTGATATTTTCCAAACCTTATTATTACTGTAGCTTTACATTATTAAAATTGTTGAAATAAGCGATTCGGATAATCGGCGATTCGGTTAATTGGAGTTAGGATAATTGGAGTTCTACTGTAGTAAAGGTGAGTAGTCCGGAGTGTGGGAACTGTTTATGACGATTAGATTAAGGTATCTTTTATCCTAAAATGCTATGGGAAGGGAGGGAAACAGGTCCGTGACGTAGGAAGTCGTGATGGAAGCAGTAAAGGTGAGCGGTCCGGAGTGTGGGAACTGTTTATGACGATTAGATTAAGGTATCCACAATCTTAAAATGCTATGGGAAGAGAGGGAAATAGGTCCGCGGCGTAGGAAGTGGCGAAGGAAGTAGTAAAGGCGAGTAGTCCGGAGTGTGGGAACTGTTAACGACGATTAGATTAAGGTATCTACAATCTTAAAATGCTATGGGAAGGTAGGAAAACAGGTCTCAAACGTAGGAAGTGGTAAAGGAAGTAGTCAAGGTGAGCAGTACGGAGTGTGGGAACTGTTTGTAAGGATTAGATTAAGGTATCTGCAATCTTAAAATGCAATGGGAAGGGAGGGAAACAGGTCCGCGACGTAGGAAGAGGTGAATGAAGTAGTAAAGGCGAGCACTGTGGAGTCTGGGAACTGGAAACCAATTGTAACAGTTCGATTTCTGTATGTGAAAGTGAAATACTGAAATGCTATGAGATGGGATGGAAAGATGTCCAACTAAGGAAGAGAGAGTTTTCTCTAGGTCACCATATTGGACCTAAAGAAACTCTCTCTTCCTTAGTTAAAAATGCTGTCAGTGACAGTCACCCACAGTATTTAAAATTTTTTTTGTAATTGCTGAAAATTATGGTTTTTTACCACGACATTGGTATTTTTCATCGGCATACAAAAATAAATAAACTACCGGTTTTTATATGTGAATCTAAGTCATTGATGAAAATCATAAATAACAAAATAACAAAGGCCATAGAGCCTTGTAGTACACTATCTCATTTGGATGAAAACTGATTGTGTTTTTGATGAATATTTGTTTGAAAAAGGTGTCAATCTTGTGTCAAAGTAAAGTGGAATATGGTTGATTTGGAATGCAATTGCAATTAGAAACGTAGTTTGACTGTGTGTTTGTAATTTTGCTTTTAAGCCTTGTCCTATGTTCCCTCCATATAGCCGGAACGTCCTAAACTATGACCTAGATTTAGGCTATATTGGATGTAAATTGGTAGTCCTAGTGTTTGTTTACTCAACTGACATTTCTTACCTCCTCAAAGTTTAGCACCTGACAACTTGAATAAATGTTGGGAAACAAGATGAAACGTGTGTCTCTAGGAAATGATACTGTTAGTTTGACCACAATGTTGTGTGTGCAGTGATTCAAAGGAGCTACAGTCATGGATAGACACCATCAACTTTGTCTGTGCCAGCTTCTCAGCCCAGCCACTACCAGGAGCTGTTGGGTCTCAGAAGAAGTTCCAGCGGCCCCTCCTGCCTTGCAGCCATACCAAACTCAATCTGGTAAGATTTAAAATAAAAAACTTTACCAACATTTTATTTACTTTTATTTTTAAGAGGCCTTTTGTCAGCTATTGCATCATCAGACTCATCACAAAAACTGGTAACTTCAATGAATATCCCATAAGTAGAATATTGTTTTGAAGAACAATTTGTTTCCAAAACATGAATCATGAGTTCTCTTTTACATAAACTAATAGTAGATCATCAGGATGATAATACTGTATTGTAATAAGTTATTATTTGTTATTGTAGAGGGAGCAACTGCAGGCTCATGAGGAGATGGTCGCCAGCCTAGAGTCAGACTTAGAGCAACATCGCAGACATGTGCCTGAGAGAGGGGCCAAGGGACTGACCATCCAGAACTACAAGGAGAAGGATGCCTACCTCCACCACGAGGTACATGCAGTGCAGATGCAATAAACAGAATCTGTCCAATAACTTGATATGTTTGTTTAGAAATATTTTAGGAAAGACGAAGTAAACTACTGTGCATTTGCTTATTTTCTACAGAAGAGTTCATTGTATTTTATTTTATCTCACATGTTTTCTTGTTTGTAGAGATTATTCTGTGATGAGATTAATGTTTTACAGCTGAAACGCTACAAGACATACGCTTACCTACTCAAGTCACGGATCTCGCAGTTTCCTGAGATGGAGGGGTCCCTGGTAGAGGCCAGCATTGGTGAGGTGACTGATGAGGACGACACCCAGAGTCCCACCAACAACAGGTACAGCTACCGTGCTGCCATCTACGCCCGTGAGCCCGACATAGGCTGACGGTTCCTGGGCGTCCTCTCCGCTTGTGTTGTTTAACTAACTCTGCTCAAACTTTGTCTTTTGCTGGTCTTCCTTTTGGCCTAAATAACACCGTAGTTTCTTGGTGTAATGTCTCTCATAACATTTAACCTCTTCATTCAAAACTCAATTCAAAATTTTTCCAGGGGACAGAAAAATAGTTCTTTCACTACTAGAATATCGAGACAATCACTCAATTTGTCCATCAGTAATGGCATCGGTTTGGGTTTCTGAGGATGGTTGTTAACAGTTATTGCGTACAAGATATTACACAAATATCAGTTGACATATCCAAATTTATTTATAACATATTAGTTACAAAAACATTTGGGATATTAAAAAATATTGGATACCTCTATTCAACAAAAGCTGAATTTATAAAGTGGAAATTTAGGTGTTTGTTTTACTAAGGTAAAATTTGGTTTTGAAAATAAATTTTAAATATTTTGTAATAAATTTATTTATAAATTCTTTATTAAAGCTTCATTAATTAAAAACATTCTTTTGCTAGAACATAATTTTGTTTCGTTCTATTTTCCATATTTGTGCATGAAATAAAAAAGATGGACCCTCTTGAAAAAGTATAAGACTAATCAATAAAAAACCTCTGAAAATATTTATTTTAAATGCAAAATGTATTTATAAAATACACCTGCCTCAGCAAACCTGCAGACTAAGACAATTTACATTTGCCTGATTGGATTTATACTAAAATGTCTCCTTTAAAATATCACCTTTATTCCCTATTTAAATAGAATTAGTTTAACGAGTACTTAGGTTTGCTGCAACAGGGAGGGTAAAATTTTTTGTGTTCTTTTAATAGTAATAGTTTAGTAAGAAATAAATGTATTTTCCAAATTTTATCAAAATATGTTCATAAACAAGCAAACTACAACAGTTTACCTACTTAAGAATAACATGAGAATTTTATCTTAACATTTTTTTGACATTTTCTCCGTAACTATTAGACGCATAACACTTCAATATACTAAATTATAAATTTTTTAAGTTCTACAAAATGGTTTGGAAAGAACATGCTAAATTTTATGTTATTTTTTGTCAAAAATGGAAAAACCAATTTTTACTCCATAAAACTTCCCATAAACCCCCGTTCCCATAGTCTGATCTTGCTGGTTCGCGAACTCATTCGAATAAATGTAGGTTTTTATTTACAATTTTACCTAAAAATAAAACTACAGAGAAAGGATATAATTTAGCGAATTTCCCATATAGGAGAGAAAATATAGGGAATAAGATATTACCGCAGTACTCATGGTAAGACCTGGACCCGGGACCGATTTACTTTTTCCTTTTTGAGGTCGAATTTGAACGGATAGTGTTTTTGGCCTCTAGGGACCTCTAAACAAAAAGTAAAATCGGTCCCGGGTCCAGGTCTTACCATGAGTACTACGGTAATAGCTTATTACCTATATTCCCTATATGGGAAATTCCCTAAAATATATCCTTTATCTGTAGTTTTATTCTTAGGTAAAATTGTAAATACAAAAAGTAATATATAAACTTACTATAATTGATTACATAATTCTTTATAAGAATAAAATGTTTAATAAATAAAATAATAAATTAGTAGACTAAAAATTAAAAAAAACCATGCCTGTTTTCTTTTTATTTGATTGATTTAATTAAAAAAGGACATAGGCCTAATTGAAACAACATTATTATAATTATCTACAACACTCAATCAAGTGATTTTATGGGATTATAAACATTCATATACTAGCCATCATCATATTAATTTTAAAAATTGTCTATCCATACAGTAATTAATTGTTCCAACATAACCTAATAATTGTGACACACTTGACATAGATGTTCTGTTCTGTTGCATGCTTGCGTAGAGCCGGGGTGGCAACTTGTTGTTCACGTCTCAGTCGTCTGTGCATGATTCTGCTACTAGGGTGACTGCGGCATGTGTAGTATAGTGTAGGTTAGCACTGGTTGTGGTAACATATAACCATTAAAGATGTGCGAGTGCTGTGAACCCCGAGTTTGGCTTTGAACTCATAACTACCCCAAAATTCAAAAGTTTTGAGTTGAAACGGCAACAAAATAATAGTTATTTTACTATATAATCTTTATATTCTAATCCATCCCCCACTTACTCTCCACAATATATCATTTAATAATAGACGACTAAACAACTCATTATGACAGTCACAAGTTAATGATGCAAATTTGAGAGCATCCTTAAACTGGTGATGCAAAAATTGGCGATTTTAACACCTGCTTCCCCATCTGTAATAGGACCATTAAACTAGAACACTGAAAATAAGAGTTTTACAGTATAAAACACTACCTACATTACCAGATTTGAATAGTATATTACGTTACTGGCCCGGTAAGTGGTGTTTTACCGTGTGAGCACGACAGTTCCCATTACGACAGTGGATTATCCTGCGAGTACGATAAAGCTTACCAGGCTAGTAACTACAATACTTTACATCATATTACACAGAAAAATTAGTACATTTAAAACTCATAACACAATTTATTTACGACATTACATAAATTATAATATTTGTACGTTTCAGAAAATAAAATAGGCCGTTGCCGGAGTTAGCTGTTTATTTCATCAGCTGACTAAGTGCACTCTAAAAGTACATTACGTTACTTTTACGTGTATAGGCATGGCAAAGGGCAACTTTCCAGCCTATCAATACGGATGGAAAAGTACCTGTTTCTGTGTAGTATGATGTAAAATAATTTTGTGTATCAGAAAAAATCTGTAAAGTAATGTCGGTTTACAAACCCCCTTCAAACCTCGTAAGGCCTCCTATTAGAGGTGTTAAGTAAAGTGATGCTCTTTATCTTTCACCATTTACTCAACTCTAACTTGACTCTACTTTCAAACAAATCCTGTACTGGCACATCTACAACAAGTTTCATTCTCGTGTTAAGTGTTATGTTATGGTTTCAAACTAGAGGGTATTGTCAAAAGTGAAAACCATATACAATTATGGCTATAACATCTTCTGTATCCCATTAAAATTATACAGAATAATTTATTTTAGTTCTTTAAAACTTACTAAATTTGATGACATAAAACACTGAGTGAATTTCAAATCACAATTAAATATTTTGTTTGTAACCAAGAGAAAATTTTAACTTTCAAAAAAGTCTTGGAGAAATGTGAATTGAACAATAACAGGAAAAGGGGGTGGTGGGTGTTTGGTATTGTTAAACATAAACGTTAAATTTTTAGAATATAAAAATCCCTCAGTTATAGCTCCACTACAATTAATCATCAAGAATCTAAACAATATTGATTCATGTGACATTCAGTCATAATTTTGACATCAACAATTAAATATGCTTGATAAAAAACAATATGGTTGTTCCAAGAAAAAACAGTATCTTTTGCAATTGAACTTTTCTAAATACTATATTTAGATAAAAACTAATATTGCCCTTTAAAGCAAATAAAATCAACAGAGCTCTCTTAAAGGTGGAAGATAACATATTTAAAGAAATTTAGAACATGTTCACTATTTAACACTCAAAATAAGTTAAACTAAACTTATTTGATAACCACTTACACATGTTACTAATTATCCATATTCTTGTTTTCCCCCTTTTCAAAATGGTTATTTTCTTTGATGTGTAAATAATAATTTGATGTGTAGTTTATAATGCTTTCTATTTTCAAAGTAGTCTTCTTTATAGCCTGGTTTAAAAGAGTGAAAATACTGCCACACTAATATTTAAGGTCTGAAATGGAACCTTGTGCTCTGCTAGTTCAAACTTACAGCTAATGTTTCTGCTCTATTTCGAAAGCCTATTTAAGGTCTTTCAGTGTATGTTGTAGATAGCACATATTGTTATTCTACTTCAAAATAAATCAGTTTAGTATTTTGGTTTAAATTCATTATTCAACCATAGAGCCTTTTCTGTAATCCACATTCCAAATAGTTTAAAATATTTAACTTTTATTTATATTAAGTATAAATTGCTGATAATTATTTGGATGTTCTACAGTATATTTTGGGAACGATTTGTTCAATATCCTTTTTGATGTTTACTTAGTTGTTTGTGAATTGTAGTGTTTACTATCTGATTTATACATTTCTCACTCTGTTTGTTTGTTTTCTACACTAGGACGAGCGTAAAGCCTGGGACCAAAGCATGATGTGTTCCTAGTTCTATTGAGTGTTCTGCTGAATTTCCTGCTAAGCATTATTAGTCATCTTGTTAGTGCATTATTAGTCATCTAGTTGTTAGATGTAATATTTGTGCAATATACATTTTTTGTTTTATGATTCAGTGTCAATGCTTTGTACACTCGGTTCTTTTTTATTTTTTACGCTTTATATACAAGTTTTCCTAATTTACAAGAATTTTTTTGTGTATATTTTATTTATTTGTACTTTTATAGTTGTAGTAAGTACTAGTAGGTGATATTTACTTTCAATTCTTGTGAATGTGAAATATTTGCTCAAGAAATGATGAAAATTGACTTGTTTAGAAATTAGATATGTGTGTGATTTTCTCAAAATTTGGCATATCTATGTTTACTATAACAGTACCACTAAAGAACATAAGAAAATAATTAGTAATATTTAAATTGAAAGTGGTATAGTGTTTACTTTTTATCGTTCATAGTTATTACCATTGATTACAATGCAGTATTGGCAAAATCAAGTATTAACAGATTGTACAACTATCAACTAATTTTCCCGAGCTGTTATAGTCCAAGCCCATACTAATTTTTTAACAGATAAGTCGAGTAAGACGTTTTTGTTGATTGCTTTATGACTTGTTAATCACAAGATGTATTGCTAAAATAAACTCTGGACCCAGTTGTCATTTGGCTGTTGATTGACAAAACGATGATATCCAACAAAAGTTTTACCTTAGATAGTAACTAGATCAGGGTTACGACTGTTCTCTTACAAAATATGCCACTGACATAAACAAACACACATGTAATTCGCACTGAGCTATAACATTATAACTGGAGTAACCACTCTGTGTTCAAAAAACGTACCACTGTTTTTGCTGGTTTTGTTTTAGAGTTTTGTTTTGTTAGGTTGGCCGGGTGATCGGGTTGGTGGGACTTGTCAAATTACAGCCAAAATCAAGATGGCGTCATCCTGTTTTGTTGATATGTGGTAAACAAAAATCTCTGCCAACTCAACATTATGATTGCAATATAAGTTTATTTATTTATTTTACGAACAAGAGCAACCCATTTAAACCGATGGTCGTTATTTAATCAAATGCCATAGGCCTATTGGCCTAAACCAATATCTCCAAACCAGGAAACTTGACTAGCCTATATTTACCACATAGTTTGAAAAGAGGTAAATAAGTTAGTATTTATTTACTATCAAACAAAAACCATTTATAATATAACTTTAAATACAGAGGTTTTAACGTGCAATAACTTAAATAAGTTTTTGATACAAGTCCTTGAAATAACGGATAACATAACCCCAAATGAATAGTATGGTTAGGTTAGAATGAATTGGAATTGGAATTATTTGACAGCATCCCACCAACCGATCACACGGCCAACATAACAACACGAAACACCAAAAACAAACCAGCCAAAACAGTGGTACGTTTTTCTCTAACGTTTAACCAGAGAGTATAGTGACTCCAGTTATAATCTATATCTCAGTGGTAATTCGGCCAGCAGATTGGCAGAGATTCATAAGTAGGTTTAATTATCTATTTCATGTTCTTATTTACAAAATCTATAATTAAACAACTTTCAAATTTAAATATTTGATGGTTTTTGTCATAGTTTATGTAATGTACATATTCTATTGATTCTAGGATTCAAAAAGAGTAATATTTTTTATAATAAATTGCCCACTAATTGTCATAAAAAAAACTGGTTTCCAAATAAAATTTGACATAAAAAGAACTAGTTAAAACATATGCCTATATAATGCAGTAGAAGTTCCAACCAGGAATCTTGAAAGTGATTCCTCATCACTAATCTATTGTTATTTTCTCTCTAAGTACAAAAACAAGCTTGAGTCTACCTCGTAAACAAAAATTGGTGAAAACTGAAGTAAATAACAAAATATTTACTAGTTACAGCTATCCTAAGGAATTTCCACGAAAGGTAACAGTTGGTTGTCAGAAATGTAGATTTTATTTATTTCAATGTTAAAATGTAGACTTATCACCCCTTTGCAATAACTGGCTACGGTGTTATTTATGATTTATTACATACCTAATCAATTCCAGTATTTGATTTTTCAAGACCAGAAAGACTGTGTATCGTTAAGGCCTGCACCTGATGTGTTATTGTTAAAGTCAATCGATCTGTGCAAATGTTGAACATTGTTATATAGTATTATATACGTTATATGATAAAGAAAATTTATTCACAATAGGTCAGTGTGTTAGATTCTTTTAGGTGTGTAGATTTCTCTATCTGTATAGAACATATACATATAGTTCTAAAGTTTAGTTTCACCACATTCAATTACCCTTCTCGGCTTCATTTGTTATTTCTTTACTAAAATATATGACCAATTATAATGAGTGAGCTAATGAAATGGATACTGTTTATAACTGTTATGATTTTTGTATCTAACTAAGTGAGAAACATTTTTTTGTTAATATAATTTTCATAATTTTAATAAAAATGAGACAATCTGATGAAAATATTAGTTTTTTTTTATTTGTTAAAGAGATAGAGTTTTGCTTAACTTTTCTGTGACTTGAAGTTAAGATTTGCTTTGACCACATTGTAAAACATTGTGACTTTAATTAAAACTTGTAAAAATAATGAAGAAATATGTTTCTTTTATCTGTAAAAAGTACTGTAACGCTTAGGCTTTGGGTATACCGATTTATTGTTTTAGACTTTATTTGAGTGAAATCATTTAAACTATTGCTCACCTTTTTGGTAATTTCAACTACAAATTAATTTTTAAGCAGAGTTGTTTATTCTCATCATGTATACACTGATCACAGCTTGTTTGCTTTGTTATGCAGTACTTACAAATAATGGTCAACAAATTCTAAAAAAATATAACTGTAGGTCAACTTAACATAATATTTGTTAATTACCTGTGATTGATTAAAAACAATTGGACTTAAAAATCTATCCATTTCTAAAATACTTAATATACATATATATTGATGACAATTTTCAGTCAGCACAATTTTGTTACACTTCTATATTCTCACTAATATGTTGAGAAATGCTATTAATTGTCAACTAAGTATCTGTGCAACCATTAGGCCTGGAGTTTATCTGTTCTGACCAGGGTCAAAATGTGCTGTGTACCTCTGTGAAGCATTGCAAGACAATGTTGTGTGTTGTCTTTCTTTGTGTAATGTAAAATATCTCTTGAGATAAATTAATATTCTAATTTTACATTTTTAGCAAGGCTATATTAACTATTCTTAACAGTGAAAGAGTTGTTTCAAGTCAACAACTAATATTTTACTCTTTTATTCATAATCTAAAATCAAACTAAAAGTATAATATCCAGTTTACTTCAACTCGATATCACTCATTATTTTGAATTAATTGTATATAGCCTAAAATATGAAGTGTTGATTTCCAATGACAATTTAAAAAATATTCATACTATTTTATCTTTACAAATAATTTTACCAATGGAATCATATTTGGTAGACAAGAATCAATTTATATAAAAGATTTTTCACGAAATAAATTCAGAATTTAACTCGTATATTACTATTACACATACCCAAGTTGTTTATGACTTTTATGATAAAAAATCCTGTTACTTTTCTCTATTTTACAAATATCTCACTAAACCATTTGCAAGATTTAAGCGTTTACTACTTTATAAAAAATGTTGTGTAGCACAAGAAATAATCATTGGCATTGCACAATAATTTAATACAAGTATGTGGCAGTCAGGGGAAATAAGGATTGTCAAACACAACCTGAAATCCATCTAAGTATGAAGATAGTTATTTAGGTATGTGTTGAAACGTTTACAACAAATTTTCATTGTGGCTGTTAATCAAAAGTGAGAGACTGAGTTTACTGTAAAAGTATTGGTTATTGGTTTATTTTGTACTATATTGTTTATAGTGTAGTAATGTGTTGCATTTAGTAGGTACCGATTTCATTTGTATGATTTGTGCATAGCTCTGATGTATATGTGAATGTATATAATGCACTTAGATGGCGGCCCTCGACTTAGCAACTCGATTGTTGAAAGCAACTATCCAGGTGCTACTTACTCAATATTTATTCTTAATAAATCATGTTAATGATGATGTTAGCGTATGATCTTCCCTACCTTCCAGTGTGTAATATATTCCGTAGAAAATATGGCCTCGGTCTTACATCTCTGCAACGTTTTTCATTTTATTGTGAATTAATCTTTTAATTAATATATCAAGACAGACTTGAAAAATTGTAGTGCAATGTTGCAGATTTGAATCCAGTGGAACCCCCTCCCCTTGTGCTCACTTTTTATAAGGCTCCTAAATCATTTTAAATATTCATAGGTAAAAAAACTGTGATGATATAAAAAAGCTTGAACCATTAAACCATAACTTTCTTAACCCTCTAGGTGTCGCATTGAACACCTGTAAATGTCACTCAATTTTCGAGACTTCTTCGGAATTTGATTACAAAATTAATAGAAAATCTAAATGATGACATAGATATATAACATTGTATATTTTCAGCAAATAAAATTGTCTATCTAAAAATGTATGATATTTGTGTCTTACCTTGTACAGGGTGACACAAAGGAACCGGACGTTTTTAAAATAAGTAGTACACAGTAGTTAAATGGAATAAAATGGTTTTAATACTGTACATAGTGAGGTAAACATTTTCCATTTGTTACAAAACAGTGATTTTTTGAAAATGACGTCATGCATATGGCGGCCATGTACGTCTCTACAAATGTTCATTCAGGTCTGAAAATCATCTGAAACTCGGGTCAGGAGGTCTTGTTCAATGCCATTGATATCTGTGATTGCCAACTTCAAATCCTCTAGAGTGCGTGGTTTGTGAGCATAAACACGCTCCTCAAGAAACCCCCAAAGGAAGTAATCACTAGTGGACAATCACCAAAGCGAGAAACCACCTTGTTAGGAAACATTCATTCACTGCTCGCACTTTGGCGATGTTTTCGGGTGTTCTCAAAGTTCTAAAAAGGCGCCTGGTGGTTTCTTTCTTTTTGTATTCCCAGTTGTTCGAACCCTGAAACCCATCTTAAAAGCGTATTTCGGCTTGGAACCGTCCCATATTAAAATGTTGACTAAATCCCCGCTGGATTTGACGACGGATTCATCATTTTAGACCAAAGTATTGTATGCGAAAACGCGATGGTCTACGATCCACTGAGCCATTTGAACAAAAATTGCAAGCCTCACTGAAGGTAATGACATAACCTCAATCTTCCTACCACGTGCGACAACAACGGAACAGCTGTTTAAAAAACGTCCGGTTCCTTTGTGTCACCCTGTATAAAATCAATTTGTTGTTGGTTAAAATCCAGATGTTCCAAAAAAAGTTTTTAATTTTTACAAAGCCGCACATGTAAAAAAAATCACTATATTTACAAAAACTGAGATAAACATTTTATTCTAAATGTAATAAGGAAAAATAAAATGTATAGTTTCACCCTGTTTTTCTTTATAATAACTCTAAAAATCACGACACACAACAAGAGTACAACGTAAACATTCGTTCACTAGCAACCGAAACAAACAATGACATATGGAAAAACTATCACAGAACAAGATAAATCGTTTGGGAAATAGCCGTCTTTTATATTCACCATGAAGACCAGAATCTCCTGAACACGTTAGTATGCCCAATGACCGGGTTTGTTCGATCTTGTGGGATTATATCAACTGAAACCGTAGACCTGTCAAGTCGCTGTAATTACGGCGATTGACACTTGTGGCAAAAAAATAGTCGCCGTAATTACATCGATTGACACCTAGAGGGTTAAAAAGAAAGAACTAGACAAAAAGAAATGTTTGAAAAGCCATCTCCCGAGTGCTCTGCTGTTGAAATATGTTCAATATTCATCAACTGTTAAATCATGTCCACCTGAAGGGCTGAACGGAAACTAATACCTGCAAGGACAAATAGCATCGTTAATGTCATATCAAGGTTATTGTTATTATTTTATTTTTACTGTTATAGATGGTAGAACTTCCTAGAATCCTACCTCCATTGATAGTGAAAAGCTGCAGTTATTTTATTTTTTTATTAGTTTGTTTTTTGAGCTCAGTAAATGGAACACAATGAGATAATAGCAGATAATAACACAGAAGAGGATATAGTGAAAATTAAACAAAGAGTTAAGCATAAACAATAATTATTTATTGAACACTATCACTTGTGTCACTGAAGCTTCAAAACAATGTGGATCACAAAATAAATTTATACCTACAACTACAAACATCATTTCTGTACAATATTGTCAAGCCCAAATGTCATTGGTAAAAAAATCCTCTTAAAACTACAAAACAATGGGCACTGTCTAGTAAAGGAACAAACATTCTTACAACAGTGGTAATTGAATCAGTTATTCAACTGTTGGTGAGTATTGATAAAGATCAATATCAACATCAACAACTTTTTGGGATTATATGAGTTAAATATTTTAATTTGACTAGCCATGTAAGCCACATTTCTTTACAGCCGAATCATTTCCAGTAATAACACATAGGATATGATATAAGTTACGTTTGACCATTGATGGAACTGTACCTACATTCCATCCTTATGTAATGCCGCCAGTTTTAATCAAAATTGGCGTGGATGAATTAAGCCATGGGCAGATTGCGCCAATAAAGTAAATATCATGTTGTGTTAACTATCTCAATAACCAAAAAAATAGGTAGAAAATTTTGTTTTAGACTTCTTTTTAAATAAAAATTTTTGGCGGAAGCTGGTCTATATAGGTGAGTCAATGGTATATACTGTATAGTGTGCTATTACTGGATCATCAGCTGTTGATTCAATAAAGCTAAAAGACCACCTATTCCTCAAATTGTCCTAAATAAACATTTTGGGACAAAACCACTCAAGGGCAAACATGAATCATATAAGGGCATACAGCAAATTTACACTTTAACCTATTTAGTATGGTTAGTTTCATTTGAAATAGAAACAAGTAAAGTAATTATTATTAAATAAAATGCATTTGACGTAAAAGTTGTAATATCTTTCTTTGTTGAATTTTTTTGTTAAATGAACATAGCTGTCATGATGATATTGTTAAAATGTTACACAATTTGATTAAAGAAACAAAGTAAACCCAACAAAACAACAATTTTTATTTAGAGAAATAATAATTTATCTTTGAGTACTTAATTGAAATACTTAATAATTTATATTCTAACTATGTAGTATTTATGTTTAAATTCACTTTCAGTTTAAGTGTGGGACCTGAACAAAAGAGATTTAGGCACAAGTGTAGATTTACAAAGTATCTGATGACCAGGTAGGAAAAAATAAATGGAAATTATCATTCTAAAAGAATAAAATAAAAGTAAAACTCTTTTATTAATGTTTTACTAGTTGAACTACAAACTTGACTATTTTACAGTCTTTTACTGATAGTTTAGCTATGACAGATGAACGCTTGAGACTTGAACAAACCCCACAATGATTATTTACATCTAAAATTGTCACTAACACAATTCTATAACGACAATAGAAGCTAAAAATATGTCTTTTGCGACAGAACATACTATCCCTAACAGTTAGACAAAATATACAATATATATTTACCCTAATTAATTTATTTACAGATATTTTTTACATAACTTGAGGTCCATTGTACAAAACGTGTAACATTAATGGAATGTGTACATTTTTATAATAATAATAAACATATTTCCTGACACAAACAATGTGCATTCAAAGCTTATCTAATACTTTTCAAATAAACTTTTGGGAATGAAGGTGAACCACTTGAAACAGTAATTGAGATTGGATCTATGCAGACTGAAAAATGTTCCAGTAACAATTAGTCAATAATTATTGTGGTAGATTGTAATAATCAAACTGGGGGAAATTCCAATAACATTTGTTAAAACATCAATAAATATTGCTTCATCAAGTTTTAGTATATTCTTATAGTTACTAACAATAATGATGAATATACATAATTCATAACATAGTTTTCCAACAATTACTGGAGAATGAAAATTATAGACATAAATAGTCAGATCCAAACATAATAAATAATACTAATAATTTCTAAGAAATAAATCACAGAGCTGTTGAACTTAGGTAATAGGTATCCCTCTGAAGTAAATGATGAAACATTTCGTTGCTAACTGAAGAAAATTGTGACTAGTTAAATCAGTCAATAAATACAATAAAAGCCAACTCAGACCAAACATGATGTTTGCTATTCGTGTAGGTCAAAACAGGAACTTTTAACCTTAGAACTCAAAAGAGGATACAAATTTGGAGGGAAAATATTAAATCACAAAATATTACAAGTGTGTCTCATTATCAGCTGTGCTAACGAGTTGAGATGCTTGAGACAATTTATTATTAATGATGTGTCGGTTTACTACTTTCAAAGTCAGTATAAAAAATTTCTTTCTTCTACAATATGAAGGTAAGCAGTGCCATAAAAAAGGTTTAATTAGCTTCAGTCATCCAGTTCAAATAAAGTAGTTTTTTTGCAAAATATGTTTCAGAACATTGTTGAGCTATTATCAGGCTCCATGCAAAATGTAATAACACCATTTGTAGTTCCTAACCAGATCAGGGGCATTTCCACATCTCATGGTGTAAAAAATTAAAAATAAATACAAAGGTTTAGTCTGTATATGAATTAATAAACAGTCTAACCTTGATATAACAAACCTCAATATAACAAATTCCCTAATATAACATTTTTTTAATCCGTTAGAAGTCTCTATAAGACACAATGTATATTTCACCTCTACATGGCGAATATAATATATTAACAACCTTGATTTAACAAATTTGTGACAATCCCCGCTAATATAAGTCGCCTCAATATAGCCAATTTCATAGTATCAGGACCTCTACATAGCAAATTTATCCTCTACTTAACAAATTACCTGCTTCTTTCCCTCAATATATAATGAAACCCACACATAATTGTTTTTACGCCACACTACATTATTTTTACGAACTTCCCACGCAAGTATTTAGTCCAGAAAACAGCTGTTTGCCGCCAGCTTATTCAAATGGGGTTTCATTGCGTACTACTGTGCTGCAATGAGTTTTACCGGACACCAATCAGCTGATTGTACTGTATTTAGTATTTAGGTGGCAATGAGTGGTTATAAACAAAAACATAACCTCTCAATGACTAGTGATTTTTAGTCCTTTAGTTGGTGGAAATATATAAGGATTTGTACAGATTTAGTAGTATGGCGTAAACTATCGTACGTCACTCGTCCAAAATGTGTGTACCGGACTCGTATGGTAATCCCGTACTCGACTTCGTCTCGCACGGGAACGGCCACACTCGTCCGGTAAACACTTATTTTCAGGACTAGTAACGTAATATACTATTGAAACACCACGGATCCTTTGATGAAAATTAAGCAGAAAGCTGACTTCAAAACACTTGCGCTGACAATCGTCTGCTCCGTTTTACACATTGTCTGCTGTGCGCTATACTACAGGGTGCGGCAAAAGATTTTTTATTGTACTGTGGTTTTTATTAACCATGGTCTCACTCCCCGCTATTCTCTTGGATAATCGAGGTTCTACTTTACAATATAGTAGCCTATGCTACTTTAATTGTGTTTTGATGACTTCAAACCTTGACCTACGTTGACCAATGCTGTTTGTGAACCTCGACTTCAAGCCTAACCTCTATATAACCAGTTTTGTTTTAATGAAATCATTGATGTAACAAATATTTAGTCTGGCCCCTTAAGATTTGTTATACCGAGGTTAGACTGTAACTGAAATATAGCACAAGCTTATTATGAGAACACATGTACTAACATAATTACAAACTTACTACAAACAATAATTTGATATATAAAAAAAATATATAAAATTGAAACTGTACAAATATTGTATAAAATGATCAAATACAAGTAAAAAATATAAAAACAACAAACAAAACAAACTTTACACTCCATTTGAACAAATGCCATTAAAATACAAATTTTTTGCTTCTTTAATACTACAATTCCAGATTTAAAAAAAAATCACAAAACAAATGGTAACATTTGATAATTAATTATAATAATGCACTAAGCAATGCAACATACGAGTTAGCCTTGCCTACATAACCACCTTTGAGTAATCTACAAGTATAAATATGACAGCAATAACCATCCTATAATGTGATAATAGATTTATTTGGTCAAATCAATGTTTGATCTTACAAAAAACGACAAGATGTTGTGAAACATGTTATAGACAGGCACATGGTTAGGAAAATATGATTTTTCTAAAAATAAAAAAAAATAAACTCTAAATGTTGAAATTTTGTTGTATTAAGTAAGCTACACATATTTTAATGAGGCTACTTAATTAGACATTCACAATTGACTGGAAATAGTGAATAGAATGTTCCTAGTTTGAATTCCATTTGAGCGTGTTTGAAAAAGAGCGCAGGGTGAGTCTAGAATATATTGAGGTGATCTGTGTAGCTTTGTTACTGACTAAAATCAGCTGCTTCTACTTTTCAGGAGCATTTATTTGAAGCCAAATGGTCTGGGACAGTTGGGTCCAGGAAACGATTATTATTCTAATCAAGAATAATGATCCTAGAACAAGAGCAACAAGCCTGAATAACAATATCTCCCCATTGTGACATGCAGCTGATAAGCCAAATACTTTGAATGTCTTTACTGTAATCAACTAATTCCAACTCAATTATAACTTACTTCAACTTTAAAGGAGTTACTGATATTTCCTTTAGCCACACTTAAAAAGTTGGCAAAAAACAAAAAAACCTTACATTGAACTCTATCTAACTACTCCCAACATTTTTAAAACCAGTTAAAAACTGTGGGAGGAGTTTTATCCACAACAAACCACTTGCATGTTAATCATGTACGGAATAGAAGATGCACAGCGTGTAACAAACCACATTCCTGAATTACACGTTTCTCAGATGTGGTGCTATACCGGTTAGTGGATATGCAGGCAAGTCTCAATAACATAATGTTATTGTCAACTCTAAAAGTACATACACAAAGCTGTAGACTAACTAAATATTAAATACTGCAGCTAAAAGTCACAACACACAACGAGTCTTTGGGATGAAATCTGAAACAAACCAAGTGAGCATTTATATAAGAAAAACACCAAATTGCAGTCTATTTTACTTCACAAAAATAATTTGTTTCAATTACTTACTAAGGCATAATATTTATGTAAGAGGAACCACAGTCTGTTATAAGCAAGATTAAAAACTGTTTAAGAAGTCAGATTTTAAATAGGCTACTAGAAAATTGAGTAGGCTAGATTCGCCTCTTGCCGACATAACAAATATACTCCTGATTAACAAATATGGGTATAATTAATATATTTTTTTGTGTTTATCGTAGTGCTAAATTGTATATCCCAAAACAATTACACCCCTTTATCCACATTTTAGCAAAGTGAAATGAAAAAAAAACTTTTAGCAATAATTAGTAATGAATTTCAATCAACAATTTCTGACCGAATTCGACCATTTTTGTAATGAAAGATTATCTGATTTTCTTCATTTTTTTATTCGAGCTGGAAATATGTAGGCTACATGTTTGATCTCTTTGCGTGACCCACCCAAGTGTTACCCACAGTTGGAACCATTGATTTACTTACATCATACTGTTTCGAGTAGCCTAATTGTTAACTACAACTTGTTTAGTATGTACCAGGTGAGTTTAGGAGTCCTTGCGTAGAGAGGCGTGACAGCCCTGACACACTCTCACAGGCTTCAGTATTCTCAGCCGAGATATCTCTGACTCAAACCTGCTGCACCTGTGTAACAAGCAAACTACATTATCCGCTGACTTATGTTATGTTCACTATTTAAATGTTATAAATACATTAACAATTTGTATTAATTATATGTTCTAATCCACAATATCTACATTGCTCTGAGTCTAATTGATATACTCTTATTCACTGATTCTTCAACAACTATAAATGTAATGGAACATGTTTAGCTTAATGCTGTTTCTATTAAATGAAAATACATTATTTTAGATTTTTGTTGTTTAAAAAATATTATTTACATATGTAGGTGTGAGGATGGTGAAATTTCAGTTCGGATCTGATTCAAGTCGGATAGTTAAGGCTCGGTTCGGATTGGATTGGATAATTAGAGGTTCGGATTAGGATATTTTCGGATTCGCATAGTTTGACGTTCAAGTACTTAATAAATAAATAATAAGGTTGAAGATATAATTTTCATATTTATAGACAAAAACTACATTATGAATTGTTAACTATTCACTATTTTGATATTGTAAGTCATTAATCTTGGTTCAGTTATAAAAACTGAAGATCAAATTCACAGCTCACTCAACTTCACAAAAAAGAATACCGTACCTTATATCTTGATGCAAAGAATTTATATGGCAAGGCCATGTCTCATTGTTTGTATCTTGATACAAATAATTTATATGGCAAGGCCATGCCTCAGTGTTTGTATTTTGATGCAAAAAAATTTTATGGCAAGGCCATGTCTCAGTTTTTGTATCGTGATGCAAAGAATTTATATGGCAAGGCCATGTCTCATTGTTTGTATCTTGATACAAATAATTTGCATATCAAGGCCATGTCTCAGTGTTTATATCTAGATGCAAAGAATTTATATGGCAAGGCCATGTCTCATTGTTTATATCTTGATAAAAATAATTTATATTGTCTCAGTGTTTGTATCTTGATGCAAGAATGTATATGACATGGCATTTCTCAGTTTATACCTTATATCTTGGCGTAACAATTTATATGGCTAGGCCATGTCTTCGTATTTGTATCTTGATGCAAAGAATTTATATGTCAAGGCCATGTCTCAGTGTTTGTATCTTGATGCAAACAATTTATATGGCTAGGCCATGTCTTCCTATTTGTATTTTGATGCAAAGAATTTATATGGCAAGGCCATGTCTCATTGTTTGTATCTTGATGCAAAGAATTTATATGGCAAGGCCATGTCGATCTCGTTGTTTGTATCTTGATACAAATAATTTATATGGCAAGGCCATGTCTCAGTTTTTGTATCGTGATGCAAAGAATTTATATGGCAAGGCCATGTCTCATTGTTTGTATCTTGATACAAATAATTAGCATAGCAAGGCCATGTCTCAGTTTTTGTATCTTGATGCAAAGAATGTATATGGCATGGCCATGTCTCAGTGTGTACCTTATATCTTGGTGCAAACAATTTATATGGCTAGGCCATGTCTTCGTTTTTGTATCTTGATGCAAAGAATTTATATGGCAAGACCATGTCTCAGTGTTTGTACAGGCCCGTTTTTGACCATGTCAGCGCCCTAGGCACAACTAATAGTAGCGCCCCTTTGCAATATATAACAGGGTGACCACCAACCGGGAAATCCGGAAACTAAGCGTGAATTTTTTTGAACCAGGAATTATGTGTTAATTTTCTACCTGGAATTGTCAATTTACAACAGTGACGTTTCCGTGACCACGGGAGACGGGAGGCAATAATATGTCTCCACAAGGCCTCAAGGAATGATCAAAACTTTGCCGTGATCGCATGAGATGATAATAATATCTAAACGACCGCGGGATATGATCATGATTTTACCGTGATCGCGCAATACGATAATCAGAATATTGCCGCGATCGCATGATACGATGATAATGTCTAAACAACCATGGGATATGATCATGATTTTACCGCGATCGCGCGAGACTATGATAATGACTAAATGACCGCGGGATATGATCATGGTCCACACAACCACGGAAAACAGTCAGAAATTTGCCACGATCGCGGAAGACGATAATGATATCCACATAACTGCAGGATATTATTAACATTTTGCCGTAATCGCGGGAGACAATTACGATGTCTTCACGACAGCGGGAGACGATTACGATGAATCACGACAGCGGGAGACGATTACGATGTCTTCACGACCGCGGGAGACGATTACAATGTCTTCACGATCGCGTGGAGACGATTACGATGTCTTCACGATCGCGCAGAGACAATTACGATGTCTTCACGATCGCGCGGAGACGATTACGATGTCTTCACGATCGCGGGAGATGATTACGATGTCTTCACGACCGAGGGAGACGATTATATGATGTCTTCACGACAGCGGGGGACGATTGCGATGTCTACAGGATCGCGGGAGTTACAATAATGATGTCTACTCTACACGGCTGCGAGGGATGATCAGAATTTTACCGCAATCGCGTAAGACGATGATAATGTCCACTCAACCACGGGAAAAATCAGAAATTTGCCTCATTCGTGAAAGACGATGATGATCTCCAAACAACCGCGGGAGATGATTACCATTTGCCGCAATGGCGGGAGAGGATGACAATGCCTCACGACCATGGGAGGCGATGATGTCTTCACGGCTGTGAGGGATTAAAAGAATTTTATCGTGATCACGCAAGAAGATGATAATGTCCACACGACCCCGGGAAAAGATTACAATTTTGCCTCATTCGCGGTAGACGGTGATAATCTCATCACGACCGCGGGATGTGTTCATATATTGCCGCGATCAAGGAAGACGATAATTATGTCCACACATCCGCTGGAAATAGTCAGAACTTTGACGCGATCGCGGGAGACGGACGATGACGACGTATATACAACCGCGGTAAATAATTAACGCATATTAACCGCAGGGGGCCCACGCTTGCGTGGGTACGTGGCCTGGGCGACCACGCGGACCCTAGCTCTCCCAGAGGGGAGGTAATTGCCCGGTGTTGGAACCGGCACTTCAGGTAGGCCACAAGCTATGGACGACTGGACAAGCCAGCCTCTTTGGGTTGTACCCAAAGTGAGAGTACCCAGTGACATTCCCTCCATTCAGGGTGGTGGGGTGTTCAGCTCTGCTAGTGTTGATTAAGTTCATAGATCTTTCACCTGCCTGTAGCTTGTGGTTGTGACTGAGTTCTTCGGGCTCGTCCTACCTGTTGTGTTCGACTGACATTTTGTGAGGCATATCCTCGACTTTGGAAGTAGGCGTCCTGGGAGGTGAAATACTTAGCCCCCAAAGGGGAGGTAAATGCTCGGTGTTGGTATCGGCATTTTCAAGTAGGCCACAGACATGGACGACTGGGCATTGGGTCCCAGTGACATTCCTTTATCCAGGATGGAGGGGTGTTTAGCTCTAGGAGAGATGGAAGTGCATCATATTCTCTAACCTACCTGTGTCTGTGGTTCTTTGGGCTTCGGCCTGCTTGTTGTGTGCGACCAGCATTCAGTGTGGCAAATCCTCGACTTTGGAAGTAACCTTTCCTGGAGGTGAAAACGGGCAAGTACCCGTAGCTCACGGGGACACTCAAGGGCAACGTAACTTTCCGCAGTGTGAGGGCAACGGTTTGTAGGCACTTATGCAAACCAATCCCTGTCTCTGAGCACGGACGGTATGGTTATCTTGAGTGTGGGGGGTTCTTCCCGGAACCTCAATTGAGTCAAGGGTGTCGCCACCTCTGGTGGATAGGTTCATCCGGGTGGGTCCCACTTCTATACCTGCCTCCTTTTGGGAAACTCTGATGGCCTGGCAGTGATGTTGGGTCTGACGGGCAAACGAAGTAGATCGGGTGCTGGGTCCGAGCCCGCCAGGGGTATCTGGGGATCTATCGCTCTGGTTATCTCTGGTTTCCCAGCAACTGGGTAAGGCCTCGATCGGGTAGTGGTGTAAATGGGAGGTTGGGGTTCCCCCTGTCAGCGTGCTGACGGTCCCCTTCCTTCTGGCTATTGATGGCGGGTTTGCCTGTCAGGGATTAGATAGGTCCCGAGTGTTGCTTGCACTAAATGCGTCGGGGCGCTCCATTATGGACCTCTAGGTCCCGACCTAGTGGAACCCAGGTGGAGTGACGCTTAAACAAGTAGCCGGAAACCCTGGTTAGGATTGAGGGGCAACCCTCTTTCCGAAGGGTCTGCTTCGGCAGCCGGTGAGCCTGATGACCTTAAGTCATCCGCCCATGATGTGCAAAAGGTTGATGCGTAAGCTTCGGCCTACATCATGGGGCCCGGGTAAGTCTCACGACAGGTACCGGGTATGCAGTCAGGGGGCTTCGGCTCTCATGACAAATAATGTAATGTAATGTAATGGATGTGTGGACATAATTATCGTCTTCCTTGATCGCGGCAATATATGAACACATCCCGCGGTCGTGATGAGATTATCACCGTCTACCGCGAATGAGGCAAAATTGTAATCTTTTCCCGGGGTCGTGTGGACATTATCATCTTCTTGCGTGATCACGATAAAATTCTTTTAATCCCTCACAGCCGTGAAGACATCATCGCCTCCCATGGTCGTGAGGCATTGTCATCCTCTCCCGCCATTGCGGCAAATGGTAATCATCTCCCGCGGTTGTTTGGAGATCATCATCGTCTTTCACGAATGAGGCAAATTTCTGATTTTTCCCGTGGTTGAGTGGACATTAAATAAAAAATAAATAAAAATAAAAACGTCTTATTAGCCAGCGTTTCTCTGATACATGTCAGTTTTTCAGAACAACTTTTGTCATTAACCTATTCCCCTTACAACTAAACATTCATATCTTTTAAAAACTTTTTAATCTTAATCTTAAAGGTATTGTTGGATGCAACGGTTTTTAGGCTCTCGGGTAGTCCGTTGTACAATGTGGGTCCGAAATATGAGAAACTTTTCTTTCCCAATTCCAAGGTGACCCTTGGAAAGTGAAGCCTCCCACCATGACGTGTCCTACGTTGTATGACCTCATCCCGGACAGAAAGCCTCTCGCAAAGATAGTCGGGCTCACGGAGAGTCAGTACCCTGTGAGTC